CTATGATATTCGAGAGGTATGACCAAAACTGCTGTTACCCTGTAACGGCCTAAATTTTTCAGTCTTTCCACAGAAACTACAGATCTTCAAAAGTCCATTTTTCAGCAATTCTACTAGCTCAGTATCTCTCAATTTCTTTATATTTCTCAAGTGGTCACATCTGTATGAGGGTACTAGACAACCTTATCTGAAATTTTCATTTTCTAAAGCCTTTCAGCACCCTAAATTGTACTCTTTATGTGCTGAGACCAATACTCCTGAATGATACAAACAGATTTGAAAAATGTCATTGTCCATCTTCTGCTCAAGGTCAAAGACAACAGCTTTTCACTATGATCTGCTCAGTTAATGCTCATTAAATACTAAAATTGCTGTGATAGAATAATTAAGAAAGGACATTTTCTATACTCGTGAGACTCGAATCAGTTGTAGAATAACACTTTTACAGAAGCCAATAGGACTTAACATCCGCAGTTCACAATTTATTTTGCACCCTGAGTACCACTAAAATGAACCAAGACTTAGGATCCAAAGTGTATCCTAAGACTCACAAACAGACACAGTAGCCCAGCCCCTCAAGCAGAATTGGCTGACATGTAGGGGTTCTGCTCTGTGATAGTTTGGGGGATTTTAGTTTGTTTTCAATTCAAATTACATGAAAAAGAAACTTTTTTAGAATTCCTTATTACCCACAGAACACATTTAATGAGAAAACTAAACAATAACTTAAGAAATATGGCACTTTGATGCTTCAGAGGTGAAATTGGTCTCCCTGGACCTCTCTACTGCTGTATGCAGTTGATCCAAATGGGTCATCCTTGTCAGGTGCAAGGCCTCCACACAAACCTGCAACTGTGCTCACACCTCACTGGGCAGCACCATGTCCCCAGGCTACCCACCCATCTAACCGTATAGAGTAGACACCCCAAATCTTGGGTGCCCAGCAGCTGTGGTACACCACTCATGAACACAGCATGCAGTCCTGGAGGACATGTTCCAGCATTTCCAGGCATCAGAGTCTTGTTCTGTAGACCCTGGATCCCAGCATGCTAAAATATATCTGATGAATTGTAGTTGTAAGTCACTTTTTTGGGGAAAAAAACTGCATCCCAAGCATTTTTTCTTCCAACACTGCCTCCACAGAAATCAAATCCAGAATGAAAATTGAGCTGTTAAAAATAATTAATTGTATTTCTTCTTAGAGTACCTGGACAAATATTCAATAGAAACCACGCTGCATGTAAAAAGTATGCAACAATATTTGGTTAAATAGGAACAGATCAAAAATAATTACCTGTTTATAAAATGAGAAGTGTTGGGATATTCTGCTTTCTTTTAATCAGGTCTAGGGAAT